TTATAAAAAGCAAGTAGAGTTGTTGTTTGTCTGTCTTTCTTTCTCCTTCCCTCTCTCTCCTCGGGTTTTGGTTTTCACCGTATCTTTTGGAAGATATCTATTTTCTTTTGTTTTAATTTTCTTTCTTTCTTTCTCAATAAAATCTCTTTTACCTAAAAAATAAAATAAATTATATGAAGATAGCCTACTAAATCATGAAGTGAACTCAAGTATATTACTCGCGTATAGGGAAGCCATTTAGCCTCTGGAAGAAAGCTTGCAATGACTTATCTTTGTGGCAAAAATAGCAGACTCTAAGATATTGCCAAATGTCAAGCATGTCATGTCTCCATGAACAAATGTTATTGGAGAGAAGTTATAAATTCTGAATGAAACCAGCCAGTCCAACCGTAAACTAAGCACCAAAAGGATCTGGTTTAAAAATCTAGCACAGAATCATGAAAACCATTGAAAACTAGTTAAAACTGGTAAAGTCAAACAAGACCTTCCAGTTCAATTAAAACTAACTGATGCAGATGGTGAGATTTTATCAGCTTAGCTTTTTCTGCTGTTTATATTAATATATTTTCACATTCAACATAACATTTCATAGATACAGTAATATATACCTCACTTATGTAAAGTATTTGTCCATGGATGGTATTCCCTATTTTTGGTACTACGTTAATATATACCTCACTTGTTTATTTAAAAAAAAAAACATAACATTTCATGTTTTTATATATTTTAAATGCAAAAAATTATCAATCATATAATTGAGTAATATGGTTATTAAAAATTTTGATTTTATTGTTTTGTACATAAATTCTTTAACCAACGATTCCTTTAATTAGCTATTGATCAATCTAAAAAACCAATAAACCAATACCTTGACTTGTTTGATGATTAGTCCAATTTTAATAACTTTTCATCAGAGAGCCATTAATCAGGAGCAATATTAGATGTGGCATTTGGCTGTTGTCCCAGGAGGAACTAAATGTTTGGTGATAATCACCTTAAAACCAGATAAATATCAGAAATTAGCACATGGTCTAAACTCAAGAGGCCAATGTGAGTGAATTGCTCTTCAGTCTGTTGTTTTCTCTTCTGATAAAAATAGAACTTTTTGGTTCAACATTTTTAAAAATCATTCTCTTACTTCTGCTGAGGATTTGCAGATTTTATGGACATCGACTAACTCGTAGATTTCTCCCCTTATGGGTTGCACCCCTTTGGTGCATAATATATTTCTTTTTTTCTCTCAAAAGAAACGTGGGTATATTGCAAAATTCCAAGAGCTGTCTGATATAACATCTGTAAATGCTGTCTGATAACCATTCTCAAAACAAAATTAACAGGAATCTGTCTAAGGCCAAATGAGAAGCAACAATGTCCAGCAACAAAACGTTTTTGTCCATAAGAACCAAAATAAACGTTCTTAGTTCATTCAGTACTACAATGTTTAAAGCATCCTCAAATTATCTTTTTTAAAAATACTCTATGCATGAAATTTAAATCGAACCTATAGCAGATTATAAGCTTCACGTATTTTCACGAACTTCATTGAACGGTTCAGAAGCAAAAATTGAAAAAGGAAGAGAAAACAACTTGGTTTTACCTTTTATCTCTGTTCCTAGTAGGATGCTCGATCGCAGGTATAGCGACTGGAGTTCTAAGCTGCGCTCTGCTCGGTGGCATCAACGGAGCCGGAGTCGTCGATCGCACAGACATGGATGGCCTCCCAGCCGATGTGGACCGTACACATGGCACATGCTCCACAAAGTTGCGACCTAACTAATTCAAACACCAAAGCTCCGATTAGCATTTTAACGCCAAATCAAAACCACTACACCTCAGAAATAAATCTGCAAATAGACTCTCAATGATATTGAACATGAAAAATACGCATATATATTTCTATAAGTATTACTGAATTAGCACAGCATCGTCAACTGAAGTGAAAAAACAGATAACAAGACGATGAGATGATCGAATTTACCGCAGGAGAGGGAGATCTATTAGGTCTTGAAATCGAAATCGCGGGTAAGTTATTGTTACTGACACTGTTGTTAGCAGTGGTGGAGAAGGGTGAAGGAGTACGATGAGTGCGAGGCGGCGGAGGAGCACTGAATCGGAAATCCAGATCGTCTTCCTCGTCTTCTTCTTCGTTGTTCTGGGAAGCCATAACCTGCGCGAGACGCTGAGCCGCAGCTTTTGCGGCGACGTTCTGGGTGCGCTTGATGGTGGATAAGCCCCCGACGGCTCCCGCCTGCAGCCGCGAATGGGGGTGTGCCGGAGACATTGCCGGGGACGAAGAACCCGTGCTGCTAGATCCCCCGCTCCACTGACGCCCGTACACGGGACTACCAGTCCTCCTTTCCATCTCTGTTATGCAAATGTATAATTGTGAATATAGACGTGTACAAGTATATGTGTATATGTATAGAGAGAGGCTAACACTATGGCGAGGATTTTCTTGGAGCTAGATTTCCTAGAGAAAAATCGACGGAAATTCGGGAATGGGTCCAGAGAAATGAAAATTGGTTACGCCTACGGGGTCAAACTTCAAAAGGAAAAGTTGACTGCAGATGGAAATCAGTAAGAAGAAGAAGAATACGACGCCGTTTGGTTTCCGGGGATGATCTAGCCAACATCGGCTAAAGGACCTTGTTCTTACAAATGTCTAGTCATTGGTCTCGCTTTAGTTAACACAGTTATATTCAATAATTAAAACTATTTACTAATTCAACACTCAGCATCAGTTAATTTTTTATCACGAAGCTTGTTATATTACTAAAAAGACTAACGTAATGATTTGTTTATACTAGTAATTTTTATTTAAATTAGTTTTTATTTAAATTTATTATCAAATTAATTATTTTATTTAATTTTTTTAATTTAATCTATATTTATCACTAACTGTTATTACTTTTAAATTTGATATTATGTATTAAATTTAATAATATGTGATACATTCTTATTGGTTCAGGTATTAAGTAATTTTTTATCAAATATCATGTTATATCACATTTTAAAAAATTAAATGCGAACTGATTACATGACATTTGAGATAATATTTTAAAAAAAATTAATATGCATCGATCAAACCAATCCACAATTTTTTTTAAAGAAATAGCCAGCAATTTCAATAAAAGTCCTAAAATTTCTCTCTTTATCATCCTATAGTACTCATAGTTTCTCATCCATCTTATTCTATAAGCTACTCAACCAACTCCACTAGAGAAGAAAAGTGATGGTCGAATAACTTTATTAAGTAGCTCACTAATGGTCGAATAGTTTCTCATCCATCTTATTCTCCTTTCTTTGTCCTGGAATCTCTCCTACTATTTTCTCTCTAAAAGCTTCTCTCATACCATACATTACATTCTTTTTATATTTATGTGAATATCATGTTCTAAAATAGTATTTTTATAACAGGCTGTAACGGTCCTGAAAATAAAAATGAAATCTATGTATTAAAAAGTTCTAAGTGCAGAAGCGAAATAAAAATTCTGATAAACATCCCTTACACAATAACAAAAAACGTATTCAGCGTGTGAAAGAATAAACTAACTAAGGTAAATACTAGTAATGAATGTTATAACTAAAACTGTGAATTTCTTAGACATCTACTCGCCGTCTTCCTACAGAACGGGCTCGGGAACCAAATCCTCATGATCTGAAATGGTTAAATAAGGAATGAGCTACACTAGCCCAGTAAAGACATCACACTATCTCACTTTCACAGAAGTAAAGGTTTGTAGAAAAACAAAAACAACCAATGGAGCATAATTCATGATAAATTCATTTATTAATAATAAAAACTTTTACTGTCCACTTACCTCGGTGAGATTCGTGAAAATAACATATGAAAACAATAACATTATAACCATCATAAAATCATATACACTTTGTAACGTAACACATGTTATACTTTTGTATCTCAATAATCAGACAACAAATTTCTTCTTTTATCAGCCTACTAGTATCCATGGGGATCCATAGGGGGTCCCCGCTACACGTGAACCATTAACATTAATAACTTAATTACAGGACCGTCCCCATACCCCGTCCGGTATGGGGTGCCTAAAAACCATGAACCTCAATACCCCGTCCGGTATGAGGGTGAAATGAGTCATCCCCATACCCCGTCCGGTATGGGCGCCAAAATACATAAAGTCTTCATACCTCGTCCGATATGAGAGACCACGTTCTTGGTAGGGTTCTCTATGGACCCGGTCCGTCCACTATCTCCCAAGATATCTAGTAAGGTTGTAGCCATTATCCATTTATGAATTCACATACCTTTTTCTATTTTTCTTGGTCTCAATTATCCAATTATACACAAACTCATAAACTAGTAATGAACACCAAACAAAACAACACAACATCGGGTTCCCAATAATTCAAACCATAATAGACGAAACCGTGATTCATACATACGAAACCATAAAATAAATGCATCAGATATCATGCTTCATTTAGACTATAAAATAGATCAAATAATAATTGATCGAAAAATACATCAGATTCGAGCTCCATTAGTAACCTTAATTAATTATACATATATATTAATTCATGAAATACCGTCTTATTATTTATTGAGCTTTTATACCGTGATAGGAAATAGGGTAAGAAATCCTTACTTATTTCGGGGTCTGAAATTGGCTCTACAATGTGCCTACGGGCTGTCCCTAAATTCCCTGAATTTTTTCCAGAAAACTGAAACGCACTATCGGTACCTGCACGTGTCCCAAAAAATCCCAAATCAGACCCAGGGTCCCTTTTCGGCCAATATCAGAATTTCAGCCGCCGTGCTTCGACGACGGCACCACCACCCGCGGCGGCGATCCGCCTCAGGTTGGCCGTTTTCGGTCGAATTCGGCCAAACTTGCATTGGTTCATACGATAAAACAACCCTAGGGCCCTCGGTGGGCCAAAAAATCACAAAAAATCGAGACTTACCTGCGGCGGAGCTCTCGGGTGCGGCGGTTTCTCCAGCGCGAGTCGGATTTGATGTTTTGCTCCGGTCAACTTGTAGAGAAAAGGACGGTGATCACAGTGGTATAAAAATTGCATCGAACGGGAACTGAAAAGGGCCTCATCGGAGGCAAAAACCGAGGGAAGCCGCGGCAGCGCTGCTGGACTTCGGCAGTGTTTTTCGGCCGATTGGCCGGTGGTTTGGCTCCGATTTGGCCATAGGCGGATTCAACATCGAAAAACGAGCCAAATGGAGAAAATTTACCTCGTTTGGCGGTTGAAAAACCCTCCGGTGCGGCGGGGGGTGGCGGCGGCCGGCTCCTCCGGTGACTGGTTCTTCTTCTCCGGCGAGGGTACTGGCAGTTAGGGTTTGGAGTCGGGTGTGGTTGAGGTTATTTATAGCCTTCTCCTTTTAATCTCAGCCGTCCATTACAATTTAATCTGGTTCGTCCGATCGTGATTAAAATAAAAATAAATATGGGTCGTCCATCGTGATGCGATTTGGACTGTCCGTGCGTGATTCAATCTGGGCTGTCCGCATGCGTGAGATCTGAGCCGTCTGTGCACGTGAGATCTGGGCCATCCGCACGCGTGAGATATAGACCGTTCGATCGCGTGCACGCGGATCGCCCACGTGACTTCGTCCCGCGTAGCCTCCCGCATCAGCTTCCTTGCCACGCGATGTGTTCTGGTTGACCGGAGCTGCTGACTGGGCTGCTGACGTGGCACAACTTTTCTAAATTGTGTTTTGACCCCCCTAGTTTCTGATTTTCTTTTCAAAAATACTTCCAGAATCTAAATTTTCACCAATTCTTCCCAAAATCAATTTTAATTAAATTTCAATAATAATTTTACCCTATTTTATCATTACTATTATTTTTATTTTTATTAAATTAAATTAAATTAAATTAAAACTTTATAAATTAAATATTGAAAAATTAAACTAAAATTCTAATAAATTAAAAAATTAAAAAATTAAAAAAATAAAATTTGGGTGCTACACGGAATCTCCATATTTCTTTCGGTTTTAGTCCCATACTATGTGGCTCATCTTCTTTGTATGTGTTCCTCATCATCATCACACAATCACATTCTACACAACTTTCTCTCTTTCTCTCTCTCTCTCTCTCTTCAACATAAACTTTTAAAGTTAACTGAACACTTCTTTTCTCTGTTATCTTCAAAATTATAAGAAGAAATCGTAGGACTAGAGAGAGAAAACTAACTTTAAGATGGATGAAGTTAGCCAACTAATTATAATGTATTTTTTCTTTTTTGCGACCGGTCTAAATAAGTCTATATTAGTTTTATTGCTATTAGGTCAGGTGATACATGATATCTGATACGACACTCAACTTATAGTTGAACCAATTAAAATGTATCAAATATTAATAAACTTAACATGTGA